TGATTCACTGTACCTTGTACCACCACTCAAGCTCTAGTAAAATTTTCCCAAAAACCCTCTCTTAAAGGCCAAATGCTGACCCCCTTTTTTTTTTTAGTTACCTCTTTTTCAATGTTCCAAGCAACTTGAAACCAAAACCTGTGCGCAGGTATCTTGTGATCACCTGTTCGTGTAAAAACTAAACACAAATCCTCACCAAAATGCAACAAAAATTCTAAGCCAGAAAAAGTAATAAAAACAGATAGATGAACCCACCTAAAATTCAAAGGTGACAAATGTCTACCTTTTGTCGAAAAACAATTGTCTGGTGCCTAATTGCCACGCGTTTTCCTCCCCCCAAATAATAATCTTATTGGGTATCACCAGAAATTTTTATGTCCGTTCCCCCCTACCAATCCGACCAGGGTACCTGCCTTAACTCGAGTTTAAATTTCGATATCCACCTATTATTACCAACGCGTGTTAATGACTAATGTAACTAAATCAACGATGTCGATTAATTAGTTACTCTAGTTTCCCCCCTTTTTACAATTTGCAACCGCCAACCCCTAACCTAACCAGCCCCCCTTCTAACCTCCCCCCTTTTTAGCCCCCCTTCTTACGCCTAAAATTACCTTAAGCGCCGGGTGCTAAACCTCTCAAGAGAAAACCGTAGACCTGTCTCCAGACCTGCTTAAGTAAAAACGTTCCTCAAAACCGGGGGATTTCGCTTATCCAATTTTACACTTATCTCCTATAATGTAATGTGGATTTTAACGATACCCGTTCTGCCTAACTTGAGAACTCGAGAGCTGCCAAATCCTTCTTGGCTACTTTCCCACTCGACTGGTCACCTCTTCCAGTCCAGTCTCCTATTGGTTCAGCTCAAGTGCTCCTGAACCACTTTCCCACTCGGCTGGTCACCTCTTCCAGTCAAGTCTCCTTGTTGTCCAGCTAAGTTCCAAGCTATCTGAAAACCCTTGACAACGCCCCACACTCGGGCACTCTATTGAGGTTACTGGGTTAAATTGCTAGGTTGATCGAAACGATCGAACTTGTAAAATAGTATGGGTATACTATTTAATTAATATAAAGGTTTGATTCAACTAATCTGGTGTCAAAGTCACTGTCTTTTTTCGTTTTATGGTTTTTGTTCCTTTTTCTATTCTTTTTTGGTTTTTGTTTCGCTTTTTGTCTTTTTGCTCGTAATTTTGTCCCCCTAGTTGCCCCCCTTTACTCGGTTAGCTAAGCCTCGTTCGGAGAGCGTGCCAGGAAGTGTTCTCGAGTTTTCTTGAAAAAGCTATCACGGTACAACCGGAAGGTTCGCACGTTCCTGCCGAACCGTACCACCGGTACTCTAGAATGGGCATGCAGCCCGAAGCTGTCTCAAGTGGGTTCGACTCCGTAGTCTTGATGTCGTAAACACCCAGGAGCGCCATAAAAACACTATGTAACATTCGTCTACTGTAGTCACACATGAGGCTTAAGAAAAATAGGCCCTATAACCAATGGCTCAAGAGTCAGGGACACTATCTCTTGTGTTTTTCTACCTCAAATCAGTCGGAGCCAATTCGGTTCGCTTGTGACATGAGACTACGACCCGTAACAGCTTAAAGGCTACTACCAAAATATCCCCCCAATCTAGAAATAAGAACGTCCCCATACTTAGGTCCCTAGATACCCAAAATACATGAACGCCGTTAAAAACCGGGTCAGAACAATCCGTTAAGTTACTTTTTATCAGACAGTGGAACTTTGATCCATTTCAGATGGATCAACCTAAAACTCGCCTTACCTCAACATAACAATCATAAAACACACTCTAGAAATTTAAATTGAGTACTCACATCGTAGCACGCTCAAGAACTGGGAGTAATTAAGTCGGTAATCAACTCGAGAATTAAATAATGTAACTAAATGAGTTTAATGTTTATCAGTTTCAATAACAGGACCAAGTTTGAACTCTAGAGTATGGTTTCTCGTGAACCATTGGGACACTCAAGCTGTCCATCTTTCCATCGAAGGTTCACTCTAGTCCAGTTTGAATGATAATCCAGTCGAGGAATAATAGTCCAATTCTCGGGAATACGCTTCCTTCTCTTTCAGATAGGACAGCTCTACTCTAGTTTTATTGTGACGGAAATTGCGAATGGCAATTTCCTACTGCTTTGTCTGGCAACTTTCCCGCGATTGTTACTCGATAGTTCTGATTTCTCTTTTTCGGTTTTCAGTTATCGCGAGAAAATCGTACATGACAGGCTCCATTCGAATTTTTGAAAAATCAAATTTCACTCCAAAATTAAGCGTTCTTGTTTTTCTCAAGGTCAAACTTCCAAATATGACCAACTGGCACAAAAAGCTGCTTACCAACAGCCCATGGAACGAGCGTCAAGCCGTCTGGTCGCTTCTGATCGGTCCTGAAGAGGTGTCGTGTCGTGGTTCTAAAACAGACGGAATGTGAGTAGAAGATAATTTCTGCTTTAAAAGGGCATTCAGGTTTGAATGCCTAGAGAATCTCCCTGCACTTTTGAGGCAAGAAAGACAATGCCAACCGTCCTCGGTAACGTCTTTTCCGCAAACGCATTTATGCCGTTCGCATATTTTTGAGCCTAATCGAAGTCCTATCGCAATTCTGTGTTGTTGGTTTGACAAATTTAACCTTAAATTTTTGCACGGGATGACGCTCAACCATTGGGAGCCAAATCTATCTTGGAACGAATCTTTTTACGTCCGTAGGTTCGAGTCGTAAAATCAAGTCTGCCATTTCGCTGTCAAAAATTGGCTCCGTCCAATTTTTTTGGATTTCATTTTCCGGAGCTATTTTGATTTTTCCATGTTCAAACCACCGTTTAAGCGCATCATCATAGGTTCCATCCACAGGCTTCAAACCAAATATTTCGCGTAAGGCATCTTTTGCTCCTACTGCCGAGGCTAAGAAAGCGGGTAAAGCGAGTAGACGAGAAGAAACGCCCATGCGACCTTTGGCTGCCGGGAGAACTGCTTGTAAGAACTGGTTATCATCCATTTTCACGTTAGTGGTCTTGCATAACGAATTTCTTAGTGACTTATCGTAGCGTTCCAAAAAATCAATTTGCAAAAAAATATAGAAGTTTTGGCATGCTAAATCAATTTTTCATGAGGTAAAAACCATGATGGGCGTCTAGTTTGTCATTGACATCCGAGATTTTTTCAAGCTCCTTAATTTTTTCGTCGAGCAATACTTTTCGGCAAAGTTCACCATTTAGAAATCCTAAAATGAGGAGTTCTTCTTTTGTTTTAATTTTTATTTTGGGGCATGTTTTTCGAAGTTGTGTTAAAATTGAATGATACTGTGTACTAATAGTCGGTCCCAAAAAACAAAGTTCGCACTTCTCGGTGTTCAAGCTCAGGCCGTAAAATTGTTCCGATTTCAGAATGTTTTTAAGGTCCCGGAGTACTACTTTATAATCGTCGGCTAAATTGCCATCATCTAAATACCAGATGTTAATTTTCGACTCCAACTGTTTGATTAGTCTATGAATTGTTTCCGCAAAAAGGGGAGGAGCTTCAGGATCACCTTGCTGAGTTCCGTCTAATGACATTATGACAGAGCTTCCGTAAAAATGTAACTAGGTTTACCATACGCGCAATGGGTGTAATTCTACAATTCGGGGCGATTTGAATAAACATGATTCACCATTGTTTCTCTGTTTAGAGAGTTAAAGGCATTCTTAAAATCTAGTTTTAAAAGAACAGTGCATTTTGGAGTGTCGTCGCGTTCAATTAGGGTTCGAAACGAGTGCGCAGCTATTTCTGCTCCTTGTTTGGTATCGCACCTTACCTCTACGTTTCCGAAAAAAAAATTTTCGCTCGGAGAGGGCCTTGCTTCCAGCGCATTTAGACGCGATACGTCTCAGCGTGTTGCCTATGGCAATCTGTCTCAACCCTCCGTCTATCTTTATGAGAGCGATAAGCTTTGCGCCAAAAAAGAAAGGTCTTAGTGGTTCGGGTATTTTGCCATCTCTAATGAGGTTTATCAGCTTAGTAAGCGATTTCAGAAAATTAAGTCCTGTACTGCTATTCGACTTACTAACAAGACCTTTAAAAATTTGAAGATTTATTTTATCAGGACCTGCTGCTGATCCGTTCGGAAAGGACATTATTGCTTTGTATAGGTCGAAATCGGTTACGAAAAACTATCCAACTTTTCTGGATTTGGAGCCGCAAATTTGGCTCGCTGAGGGTGCTTAGACAACAATTTTTGATATTTATCAGTTGAAAAAGGAGCAATTTTGTTTTGTCATCCGAAGCAGCAAGCCTTATTCCTCCCTTTACATTTCCTTCATCGAGCTTACTACTTATTAACTTTATTCTCTGCTCGAGGTCACTCAGAGGCGGGCTTGAAACTTGGGGATCGGTTTTTGGAAGTGACTCGTCATTTGCTCGAATTTTTTTATTTATCAAAGAGTTCATGCTTGTGGTCTATTTGCGTTCAGTTCTTTTCGGTTGCTCCAAGGAAAACAAGAACGACGTTAAAAAAATTAGCCATTTTGTAACATCTTCTACACTGTAGACGATGTCATTTGTTTTGTCCGACAGACTTTCGGCCAAGGGAACACGCGAGTCTTTTGGTACTCTCTTGAGTACTCGGAAATTTGAGATGGCTGTATTAACATAATTGTCTAGCACTAAATCATTACCTATTGTTACTTCATTAACAGATTTTACATCAACGCATAAAGGATACTGAAATCATTGGGTTTTTTTAGAGTCGCTTAGAGCAATTAGTGGGAATTTTACAATTCAGCAAATAAAAAAAATAAAAGACAATTAAATTGATTTAAAATTTAAAATCGAATTATAAAAATCAAAAAACAAGGAACAATCTCACCCGAGCTCAGTAGGTCCAGCGGCGCACCACCAGACTCTCAGGCCAGTTCCAGTTTCCCACCTCCCCAGAGAAAGCCACTTGACAGACCTCTCTCTAAAATCCCTCAGAGGGCGCTCCACAAACAGGCACAAACATCAAACATAACAAATCTATTTAATAAGTTTATCACAACTATTAGTAACTACTAAAAGAGTTACTAGAAGAATTTAATCCCTTCAAGGCTATTGGGACATCAAACAAAAACCGCAATGGTTATTTAGTTTGACTTACAAGAAATCGGTGACTCCCGCTTTTGAAGAGGCTATTGAAAATGCCGCCATGGATGACCAAAATCAATGATGACTTTTTTTGGTTTTGGATACTGACTGGGGGTAAAAATTCCTATCGTTTAAGAAGTGTTTTTTTCACGATCTGCTGTTGTTTTGTTATTTTATTGTAGGGAGCCAAGCTGTGTAGTAGTAATAGTAATAACAGATTTAGAGACAGTTCTCAAGGAATCGCACCCAGATTCAAGTTCATCAGTTAAGTTTTTACTTGTTTGTAATGTTACAATTTCTTCCACATCTTGTTTGTGATGTTACAGCTTCCACATCCGTATTACATGGTGACGGAGCGTAGAAAAAGCACCTATTGACGACTGGCCGGCGTCAGTTAGCTATATTTTACCCGTTTTTCACCGTCTCGACCTAGCCAGTAAGTTTTCTGGTCTGTTTAGGGCTGAGTAAAAAGTTACCATTTTTAGGCCATCAGTCAAACGACTTTTGATCAGCTTTATATAATTATTTATATATTTATTATGACGAGCAGAATTTAAGTCTTCCTCTCTCACTTTTGATCAGCTTTCGTTACATGCGAAAACAACCACATAACTGGATCTCGGATCCCCCCAGTACGTGATTGCAATTAAAAACACGGCTCGAATATCATATTTTTTCCTTGTTTTTAGTGACAGTTATACACTAAATCCATTATAGATAGATTGACCCTTTCCTCTTTCTAGCTATTCATGCTCTGAAAAATTAAACAATACTGGAGTTAATTGAAATGTTCAGAGCATTAAAGCGGCTAAAAAGTCAGTTATATAGTGTCTCAGCATATAATATTCTCTGGGCACCAATTCCTTGCTCTTCCGGAGATAATGTCGTGATCTCTCCAATCTCGCAGCATTGGAGGGTACTGATCCGCTCCGGATGTCCCACTGAACCTTCCTTTCGTGTGTTCTCTTTCGAATTAGCGTCTTATCGTGTCTTGTTATCACGATAAGAGGCTTCGTTGTTCTCTGTCGACTTTCAACGGTTTTCTGTCTTGTCTTATTCGGGTCTCAGTGTTTTTTAATTTTCTTGCCAAATATGGCCGTTCTTCTTAATTTCTGAGAAATGTTCCATGAATTTTAAAAAATCGAAATTCGTCATTAATGTTCCTTACTTGCTCGTCGGAGGGTTCAACTGAGTCAATCCAGCGGAATGGCACATACTCCCCGAACAGTCTGCTTCAATGTCCCCATTGAACGCATAACTCCGGGTTAACTTCAAGTGGTGATCCAGTTTTCTATAATCAACGTACAAATTGCGTCAAAAAAAGAAATTTCAACTAGACCACCTCAACTCACCGCTTGTCATAAATGGCATTGTACTACATAGCACTGCTTTCCAACATTTTCCCAAAATTTGCACTATGATTAGTGTCCCAGATAAATTTTCTTTTCTGACTACTTAGGCCATCTCCGTAAAATTTTTTCTCGCTCCTGCTGATTTTAAAAAAGATTTGGGACGTGGCACGGCCACGCAACCCGTTAAAATTAACTTAACGTGACTCACAAAGTATAATCTTTCATTTATGCTGCGGCCCTCGATATTGAAATTAAGAAACTTTGTGACATTCGACCAGAATGTATCAAAATGTAGTTCGAACTTGAAATTATATTATAGCAGCTAAGAATTGAAAAACTGAAAAAGAGACACAACAACAGAATTTATTTTAAAAAACGGTGATCAGCAATTGTGCGATACAGATCAAGGTTGAAGTAGTAAACAGCTATCAGAAGAACATTCCGAGTTGTAACGATTGTGCCGCTACAATTGTTACAACACGAATCCCGAGAACCAGGAAGGGTATTGGGACGACGTGTCCAGCCTTCCGGGAACAAATAAGACTGTTATTTGCCCGGATTCCAGAATCCGGAGGAGTCTCGGGAGAAAACTATAACTCTCTAACCATATGAATTTTTAGCTTCTGGTCATGTCCTGATTTGAATTAATAACATCTAAATTCTTTTCAGATTATGAGAAGCTAGGAGTTGAGGGAAAGGGTTGATCCATCTTCGATGAAGATGATGATTTTTATCTACTGAACAAAAACAATACTAATCTGTTAAATATGTAGTAATCCTGTTTTTAGGAGTGACCTCGTGGTCTGAGGATACTAAGACCAAGCCATGCGCTCACTACTTCAGCATGTAATTAAGTTAATTAGAGCGTTCTGATCGAAGCCGGAAACAGTAACGTTTATGTCGACCCGATGTTAGAAAGACCACCAAAAGAACTGGCTTTGGCAGAGTTCGTGAAAAGCAAGTAGAGCTGTGTTTAGACGCTAGCCAGTCGTTCTAGAACCTAGCTTTATTTTCCGTCGATATGTACTTCCGGGCGAATGTTACATACATATTTGTATGGCGCTCCTGGGTGTTATTCTTTTTTAACATCATGACCGGCAGAACCGTTAAAGAGCACTCAGCGCCGAGTGGATGCTCTAAATAAGGCCCTTAGCACAGGGGTGGAAGGGTAGTTTGGAACGCGGGAAGCCTTTCGGATTCCCGAAACTAGTATTTTAACCTAGTTAAGACCAAAAATTCACGCACCAGGAAGCGTGGGGGGATTGACCGTCTCGTCGTGCCCTGATAAATATGAGACCAAAAGCACTCAAAGATATACAAAAAACCAAACAAAAAGCATTATAGTACTTAAGAAAAAAAATAACCGAAAAAACCAAAAACAGTAAAAAAAAAAAAACATAAAATCAGTAGAAATCATCCCCCCCCCAGACGAGACGAGATGTGATCCGACCCTCCCGTTTGTTGTTGTTAATTATATTTTTTTACAGGCATTTATATCAGTCAGGATTGTTACGATCAAAATTGTGGCCCGTTTCTGGTGCTTGTACTGTAGGGTTGTTTGAGTATTTAAGGACGGTAATTTTAATTTGCGGTTAATCCGAAAGGGTCTTGGAAAGAGAGCGGAAGACTGATCCGGCCATCAGTGCAAGGAGTAGCAGGAAGTGTCTCAAGGTCAACTACAATCGACTGCTGGGTATAGTTAACAAGTTTTGTATCCCTTTTGGTACAAAAATTAAGATATCAATCTGTGGGTGGCTCGACAGTGACTGCACTGAAGTGACCCTCCACCGAGTTGCGAACTTCCGAGTTAAACACCTTAATTCGGATATTGAACAATCCCGGAGGGGTATATTATCACTAGTATTTTTATTTATACAGCCTATATTAATACTCTTATACCGTTTTTCAGTGAAAAACATAGTAAGTAGACCGGTTTTTAGGGTCAAAATAGTGATACTTTGATCCCCCACAAATCGCGATTTTTGAGATATCGATATTTTTGAAACGGAAAAAAGCGCTAGATTAGTGAGTTACGTCGTACCTGTACTAGTATAATTAGTGGAACCGGTCAACTTTAGTTCGGAAGTGGTTGGAACTAATTGGGCACCGAAAAATGAATTTTCTTGTTTTTTGAAAAAACGAAACGCTACAAAATAAAAAGAAAATTTTGAAAAGTTTGCGTTACGACAATGAAAATTGTCATTATGACAACGTTCATTAGTGAGTCGACAGGTTTTAAAACTCGTTTGCCAATGACCTTCCGGGTCCCAGTAAAATCGAACTTAACGAGTTTGATTTAGTGGATTCGTCAATCCGGACGGGTCCAAATAGCATTGTTTTTGGAAAAATTTTTCAGCTGGAAAGTTTTAGGTCGGGTTTTTTGCATTGAACTAGAAAAATATGAGCCTTTTGAGCTCGGATCAATAATTTTTAGGTCAATAAGACAAGAATAGCGAAAAAAAGTTAGGCGGAACCTATAAGTGATAAAATTTTTGTACTTTAGAAAAAAGAAGTTTTGGTTAATACCTTTGAAACTGCTGGACAAATCCAGTTGATCTTGGTACCGTTAGATCAGAAATTAGGTGAACTTACTCTTAAAGCCTTCAATTGTTCGAAGAAATAAGCATAGAAAATTTTCGAGATTGTTTTTAGCAAAGTTACCAGTAAGTGAAGGTAGACCCTTCACGTTTCGTAAATTTTTTTGGAAAGCCCTCATACGCCTACTAAATGGTAGTAACGGTTGAACAAGGCAATTTTACGCCGTTCTCGACAAAAAGGAAGGGCTAAGGAACGCAGAAAACGATAGTCGAGTCAAGACTAAGCTAGTTATAAGACCCTTCACAGTTAAGGAGATTTGTCAAACAAGCAGCTTAGCTTCAATCTGGAAGGGTCTAAGGCCGGAATACACCCTTCCTATTAATTCATATAGCATAGTAGACTTGCAGACTGTAACGGGAAGGGTCTCGGGTGTGAATTTTAATCAACCAGGAAATACCCGGAGGGGTCCTATTTTCACCAATCCGGAAGGGTCCCATTTTCACCAATCCGGAAGGGTCCCATTTTCACCAATCCGAAAGGGTTCCTATTTCACCAATCCGGAAGGGTCCTATTTTACCAATCCGAAGGGCCCTCAATTTTACCAATATGAAAGGGTCCTAATTTTGTCAATCCGGAAGGGTCCCAATTTTGCCGATCCGGAAGGGTACTGGAAATCTTATTTTCAATAGGAAAAGAACGGACGTGGTTGTAGGGATCCTAAAACTTAAGCAGACAAAAGAAAAATAAATTGTGAAAGTTATTAGGTTATTAAGAGTCAAGCTAGAAACCAGTGACTGCACTGGTAACTTGCCTTTAAAAAAAGACCATAGTAAAACAAAACAGGTCTAAACACGGTTATTCGCGACACTAAGTCTAATTGAAAACAGAGTTCGACACTAATTTGTGTGGATTAAAATCCATTCTATTTTTTGAACAATTGGTTGCCTTGAGGACTTTAGTAGGTCTAGCTCGGGCAATCCGAAGCCAGATAGGTAACGCAGGACTTGGTGGTTGCAATAGACGCC